AGCTCCCGGCAGTTATGGTATAACAAACTGTCGCAGTGCAGTTTTACATTTGGCTCTGCAAAGCCTATGGACTCGGTGAAGAAAGATTTATAGATCACACTGAGGACTAACTTATTCCTCCTAATGAAGTGGCCGAATTAAGTAAGAAGGTAAGTAAATATATAAGTACCTGGTATGATCACTACAACTCCATGGTAATGCCTTGTGAGTTGGATGGATCTAACCTCAATCAACATACCACTCATTTTTCATGGTACTACTTACAGTGTTACAAGGTTGTTGAGGATACACATATATAACCAAATTATAACACAGTTTATGGAGTTCATTTTGATCGCCTAATTTGATCGTTTGTTTGTTTAATCCAATAGAGTAACCAGGCTGAATCGGAAATAAAACACTAGCTTATTAGTAACTGAGTATCTCAGTCGATGGAAAATAGACTCTCAGCTTATACTGACTGCTGCTCACCTTAGAGACCACCAATATTCCGAATTTACGAGAATGTGTGCCGCAAAAAAGCTTAATCAGTTTCACTATTTTGAACTGTAGAAAGTCAAAAAGACCTCGAACAGGTTTGGTGTTTTTGTCCCAAGACAAATGGTAGCCGATAATACTGCTCAAAATAGACACATCTATGGCATTACGGAGACCTATTATTCTTTATTTTCTATTACCATTATAACTTCCCTTTACTGAATACATAATAGTACAGTTTTCAGAAAGGGGGGAGTGGTTAATCCGAGGGTCACCATACAATACATAGAATTCAGGTAGTCGTGTTTAGATTCGAATACACATCCTTCTCCCCCCCCCCTCTGGGACGATAATTTGATGATGTTACCAGTGGCCACCACCAATACCCAGTCCACAGGCTAGAAGTCAAAGTTCAAGGTTTTGTTATGGAAAATACGTACAAGTGTTTGCTTTTCTAGTCTCAAAGGGTTTAGCCCAGATGAATCGATTCACGGTTCATACAAAGTTGAGGATTGTACCAATTTATCCCTGTTTCTTGCACTGCTATGATGTTGAAATTTAGGATTTATCAAAGTTTAATCTGGTTTGTGCTTGAAGGAATCACTTGTGGGTTCAGAAACAATGTGTGGTGGTGGAGAATTCCAAGCAATGCAGACTCTGAGGGCGAATGAATAATGCCGGCAATCTAGTCGGTATTTTTGAGCACCAATTTGAATGAGTGCCTCCTCAGGTGAGGTTTGGATGACAAGCAGAACAGTAAACGACAGGGGTGATCAGGGTTCTGAATTATTTGATACACCAAAATCAAGTCCCCTCGAATTCGGTCATACTGTGTGGAGCACAGCCTCAGTGATTCCAGTCTTTCCGCATAAGTCATGGAATGCAGTATCTTGCACATTTTGGTGGCCAATCTTTGTAGGCATTCCAGAATCTTACGATCACGATGCAGCCACGGATTATACGCTTGAATTGCATACTCTGCGTGGGGTCGAACTTAGGCTGATAACAACCATGGAAACAGCGTAGGTTCAAATTTTCCAAATACTCGCTTCAGCAAACCAACATGTCTTACAGCGATGGGCGACGACCTGCAGCAGTTTAAAGAATGACATAGGTCTTCTTAAACAATGACACCAGGATCGTTCTCATTTGAGACATACGAAATATGCTGATCTCCCACGAAGTATGGAAACCGAGTTTTGTGGCGAAGGGATACGACCGGACATTTTGGTGCACTGAATTCGATACCGTTTCGATAGACCATTGATAGGCAGCATCAAGTGTTCTCTGAAGTATCAGCGAGTCCTCTGGTTTTGTCACTATTTCCCATATTTTTGCATCGTCTGCAAACATTAGCGTTTGTGGTCCCAGAATTTCCGTTAGGTCGTCTATCAAAATACGAAGAAGTTGAGGGCTAAGCACGGATCCGTCGATCATTGCTGATAGGATCAGAAAGTGACCCATAAATCCGAACTGCCATGGTGCGTTGTCGAATAAATTCTTCTATACCCAAATTCAATAAGTGTGTAATTTCCTCAGCAGTATTTTGCGGTTTACTCGATCAAGTGCTTTCTAGAATTCGATGTACACTACATCCACTGTATCACCATGATCAGCTGTTTTTGTCCCCTCTTCTCGAGCAAGAAGCAGGTTAGTGGCACATGAGCTCCTGCGGCGAAGCCCATGTTGAGCAGGGGATAACACGTTGTACTATTCCAAGTCACTCATCACTTTGTCTACAACAATGGATTCCATCCATGACCTTGGATAATACGGGGAGGAGAGTAACGGGATGGTGGTTAGCTGGGTCACTACCACAACCACTCTTGTATATTGGAGAAATTATTCCTTGTTTCCATATTTGTGGGAGCACAGTTTTGTCTAACATCTGTTGGAACGATTCACTTATCTTATTCTCCTCGGAAAATTTCTGATTTCGGTGGATGGCAGCAAGTCCGTGAAGCATTGTTTTTCTTCGTCCCTGGTTTAGGCCTCGTATCTGTGATTTTTGTCCTTATTTCAATGGTAAATTACTGCTTTACACTGTTGTGCTTTGAAAAGCCTATAGAAAAAATCTTTATGGTCCAAAGTAGGTCATTGTGACCTATTTCGCGACCAGAAATGTAGAATTATAAGCCGGTTTTTTTTGACCTTCGGCTTCGGCTAGTAAAAAGGGTACATCCATGTCCCTGGACAAGAAAGTTGACAAAGAAATAATTTGTCTATATTGATTAAAAGTGACAGTATTGGAACCACCGTGCGATACACACGAGCACATACCACTACCTGATTTGCTTTCAAACCAATGAACTCCAAATTTCACAAAATAAATCAACAATACATGATCTCGTCCATCAACCAGTGCATGACTGTGACTTGTGTCTATGGTGGCACTGAACAGGGGGGAGATAGTCTGTTGGCCCTGCCCCCCGCCATGCACCAGATTACTCGATCAAAAATCAGTTCCGCATAAGTTCACACCATTGATACTCTGGGGTTGGCTATCATGAGTTCAATACAGTCACTTGGATCACTTTGATCAATTGCTCGGTCCGTGAACAAATTGAATTCATTCCGAATGAGACTGTGCCCTGTAGACGGATGGACTCCTTCGTTGGCGAAATCCCCCGCGCTGGCGTGACATATACGTGTCACTGTAAGGATTTGTGCACATCTCAACAGTACACGCCGTATTGTTTGCATTACGGAAACAAAATTTGTTTGGCCTGTCCGAGCAAGTCAAGATCAAGGACTGTCTGATGTTGACAACCATTGTTTCAGTAAAGTTTCTTGTGTATAGTGGGAGTATCCCATGAGAAATAATGGTGAGATCATGCTCCGGACAATACTTTTTGCTGGTATTCACGCGTGGGTCTGAATCCCACGGATGTGACTGACCTTTTAACAATCTGAATAGTTGGCCTTCGTAATCTGCCAGACAACAGCATACTTTAAACAAATAGTCGGTATTTGTGAGTTAAGTTGGTGGATTCTGAAGTAAACCGACTATTATGGTTTGCTTATCACTGTATGGGGCTCCTTATGTAATTCGAATGATAAATTATCTCTCGGAACGCATCACAGAACAAGCTCCGTTTGTTTAGGATCAGAGAGGACTAAAGCGATCTCAATTGCTATTGTTCCTCACGTTGTGGAAATTAGGCATTCGTTCGATTTTGTATTGGTTAACAAGTACCACAATTTGTCCAGCAGACACCGGCAATGACAGAGGCAATTAGGTGTTCAACCCTTTCAGATTACTTGATGAACAGCCTATCACGTTACCAATGGGCTTAATGACGACGTAAGCCCCATATCACCATTGCCTAATTCAATCAGCATCCACTCGACTGTTTCCCAGTAAATAGTTGACTCATTCACCTCTCTCTCACACATCATCCCACTCTATTATACCCTTCAGACGATAAATTTGTCAACCTGTCTTTTTAATTTGTTGTCTTGCAAACATGACTGCTTGTGTGAGAAGGAAATGACTGAAAACAACTGTCCATTGACAAGTATAGTGTTCCGAATATTGCCATGATCTCATTTTGAGACATTACATAACTAATGAACAGTGACTCTATTCTTTTAAATAAAGCACTTGTCTTATGACATCTAGCTCTCTTTCTCTTTGTCTTGTCACCGCAACACAAGTTCAGATGATGATGAGCTGACCAGGAAATTGGCTACTCAGGTCACCTCATAGAAACTTTAGTTGCTTAACAAAACTGTCTAGTTTGTTTTCCATTCCCACCCACCCACTCCCCACTTGAAAATTTTCCATCAATGGCGCGCATAAAATAAAGCTTAATTTGTGTCAGGATACCCGCTTTTTGCTTGTAATTAGCCCCCTGCACTATCTATCATAAGGGGATTGGCTCGGNGCTGTTTCACTATATCTAGTCTAACTGGACACAGTGCCGAAACATGTTATTTCATGCAAGGGCGGGGGCGGGAAGTAGAACGGAACTAAGGGAATTAGAATCCAATCCACATTGCAAAAAATAACAAACAATAATAAAGTATTACTCATAATCATGTTTTAAGAAACTGTAATTGTCGGCGGTGATGAAACTGAATTTCGATCATCTAAACTGGGAGGAATGAAATGTTGATCAATTGATTTACAGGACGCCACCAAGCATTTATTTTCCGTCTGAATGACTTTCTCTTCTAACCAATTGTGATTACAATATCAAAGCGTGCATTGTCCCCATAGCATTGCCCGAGCATGTTAATGGTTGGTATCTTCAAATGAAAAAAGACTAATTGGGACGTTTGTGGCGTGTCTGAAAACTGGGTTAGTTTTGGGTAGGTCAGAAAACATCACAAACTATATGTAATACGAACGGGATAGAAACACCGGCAAAAAAGGAATGGGGCCAAAGGAATACCGTGGAACAACAGCAACAAAAATCAATGTGCTCAGTTAACGCACTGCAGCATTAGTACGTGAATCCCGCGGTGCGACATATACATATATATTCACTTGGTTTTCTTGAGTCAAACGGAAATAGGAAATGGAGTCATCTTCATCCGAGCGAGTGGAAAGTAAGCCGCATAGCCCTGTTGCGCGCGTTGAAAATTAGCTCTTCTGTCCACATTCGGTTTGGTAAATCCACAAATGCATTGTTAATTCCCATTGTTTTTTTTCTTTATTTCTATGGGAAACTCAATCCGTTCTGTTCCAATACAGAAATATATATCATACATCTTCTCACAGTAAAAAACAAACAAACAATTGTTTCAATTGTTTCCTGTTTGTTTCCCTTAAATCAACCGTATTAATGGTTAGAAATAGACAAACAAAAGGGAACAAATATATTCTGTTTTTAAATCACGAAATCTTCTTCCCATTATTGCAGAACACAAAACGTAGGCAAACATATATTTGTTTTCGGTAAATTGCTTTTCAAGCCTTTACAATCGCAGTTGTGCAAATAATTTCAGTAGGATCAAGCAGAAAGGGGGATGATTTACGTGTGTTTGGTGATGAGTCCCAGAGAAAACTCCAAATTTATACGCTGTTTAGATCACGTAACTGACAGTCACCATACTAGATCATGGTCATGTGGAAAATCAATATTCTGTTCCTGAAAGCCAGGGGAGTTTGAGAGCTTGGGTTAGTTTTCGTTCTGCACACAGCTCAGGCTTCAACGGCCCCGTGCATTGTTGTATCCCTTACAAACAGAGATCATGTTTCGTTACCTTACAAACTTTGGAACCTAAAGAGAAGCTCCAGAACATCGAGAATAAAAGCGATAACCAAATCTGTGTTGTTTTACCCCATGAAGTCAAGTTGTGAGATCAGGAAACAGACCATCGTTCACCAAAACGGCAAAATTTGTATTCTAATTCTGAAACTGAAAGACAAAAGCTGGGTTCCAGGCACCTCTGGATTACAGTTATTCATCGCAACCAAGCGAGATAGGGGAGGTTTCGCATTTTTAAAGTGCAAAGTTCCATCTCACTGTAACCAAATCAATTTAGGGACTATAGAGTGCCGGGGGTTAGGCATAGCGATGACACTACAGTGAGTGCAAAGTCTTTCTACTGGACGAGGTCGCACGGTTCTCAGCACTCCATGCAACTTAACTGTGCTTTGATTATATGTTCAACTTCTGAGGCAGTGCATTTTTTTCCAGAAAAAGTGATGTCAGTTCCATTCGATGATCGAAACTGCGCGAAAAAGTTTACTTTTACTCCTGCTCAGTCGTTACACAAGGTGTTTCCTGCACTGAACAATACTTTGATTTCACGCTGGACCGGTTCAGCAATTTCTGAGGTATACTGTTTGAAAAGTGAATATATCAGCGAAACGTGGACGTGGAATGTTTTGATTAACCCAGACACTGTTGAGGAATCAACGATCTTCCAAGGAGTGAAACCCACAACCCAGATCATCAACCAACAGTGCCTAGTGCCAGAGTCCATAACCGAAACAGTTTCTAGGATTGCAGGAGCGTTGTATTGTGCAACATCCGTTGGAACAGAACGGTTACTGTCCCAAATATGTGATCCGCCAAACAAACAAGACGTTGCCGGTGTGTTTTGTCCATACCTAAAAAGGAATTTCTCTTCAAAATCAACAGTTTTTTCTTAAACCTTTTCAGCGGTAAATCTTCGGTTCCTCGGTGAAGAATATATAGAAGACGATGCAATCAGCGCGGTCACTGAAAACCTCTCACCCTTTTTGTGCAGTGGCTTTTTCGTCGGAATAGCGGCAGCTTGATTCGGGCATTCTACGTCTACGATAGCTCGGGGTTAGGGAAGTATCTCCAGGCTAACCACAGTATGGATCCTCAGAAATGTCCAATTGCTTCGAATAAGTGACTTTTGGATGATAACTCTAGTCACAGCCAATAATGTTGATGGGTTTGTAATACTGTCGATACATAGTTGCCTGAAGATCAGTGGGGTGGGCGCCTCGCTATGAAAAAACACATTGAGTAGAAAGCTGTAATTGTTTCAACCTACTGTGATCTGTGAGTGGTGTTTAGGGAATTCGTTGATGAAAGCGTAATGCATGTTTTTGATAAGTTGCACTGCATAACCACTGTGTCTTGGGTTGGGAGAGGGGAAGTAACACTTCTGGATTCCACCATCGGATCATTGTTTGTCAATACTAAATTCTTCGAATGGTTGTTTGGCATATTTGATGTTTTTATGCCGAGATTGTGAAAAGTTCAGTAGCCTCGGTGGGATTTGAACTCACGCATTTGTCAAACAACAAGTTGAGCAATTAACCTCGCCTTAAAAGCTCATTCGGTGGACTCCGGTGAATTCTAAGG